TCTGAAATGATCTTTCAAGAAATGTTTTTCATAATTATTCCCCTTCCACCTGGACTCCAGATTCAAACTTTTTGTGCCAATGAAACTGAAGTTGATACCAGATATCAACCACCATTTTGGATGAATATTATGCCTAACATTTGTATCCTTACTGGTACATGGTTCTAATCAAACGCTGTATATCCCTGGTGTCAGAGTTAAAGATAAGAGAATCTGTTCTTGTGATGCTCCTAGCAAGTGTTTTTCTCTCATGATTCCTTGCAGTTGTAGCTGGCACAGTACGTCTGTCATGAAGACAATGGTCGGCAGTGCCAAATGTAGCATTTATGTCTCTTCTATGATCTCTTGTTATGCATTAAGTTGTAGGTTGGGAAATGTTATACCAAATATGTTATAACGAGTTGAACTTGTTTTTGACATCCAGATCTCGATTCTGTCCATTCATATCAAGTTAGTACTGTTCTGTGTTCATTTGCATAATAGACATGTCTTGATATTATCATTATTATTGATCATCTTTTCATCATTCATAACTGTTATCAGCTTTCCTACCCAATACATGTGCTCTATGTACTAACCTTCACATCTGTAGTATAATCAAACATTAGTCCATCATTCTATCTCCTCACACAGAGATTTAGCCTTGTTCATTAGTCAGCAAGGAATCATGGGAAATGTGTACATTCCTTGTGCAACCATACGGGATCAACGTGCAATCTAAGGGGCATCTCTTTCCCCCCTTACCAGAATCATTACTGGGCAGAAACTATCAAAAGGCCATGTCGAATTGATAACGCTGTGTACTTCTGTAGGAATTGCCACATCTTTTTCTGAAAAGGTATTTGTAGATTTCATCATAAGGTTCGACTATAGAACACAAAATACAATAATACATCTGTTAAGTGGCCACATGATTGAGTTTCACTAGAATGAACTAAGTTTCACTTCATGTGAAGTAACTGTGTGAGTAGTAAGTTACAGTCTTCTCAAAATTCTGGTGAAATGTTTTGGAGTATTAATTTCTGGTGAAATATTTTTGAAAAACAGTTATTTAAAAAAATCCAATTTGAAACACTAACGATGAAGAAACAAGTGATTATTTATTTGTGTGGCCAAAAGGATATTAACTCATTTACCACCAATGATATTACCATGCATTTATTTCTTCTCAGGTTTTCAGCTTGATTCCTGACAGCCTTGCCTAATCCATATCTTCTTGCTATTGCTTCCTCAGTTGCATGCTAAGTGTGGTCTGTTGTAGATGTACCCTTATGTGCTTTGCACACCATCTCATTTCTGCCATTTTGATCCACGTTGATCCCGTTTGGTTATCTTGTGTTTTTCATTGTTATTGTATTATTTGTCAGAATTGTTGAAATTTGTGTTATTTATTGTTTTATGTAAATTTGCATATATAAATGAATCTTATTTCTATTTGAATCTACTCATAATTGTATTTTACAGGAATAAACTTCCTATTTAAAAATCACGGCTCTGTTATCAGTGTGGATCAAACTGGCAAAACATTGTACCTTATTGTATGCATGATCAAACACTTTCAGTTCACCCTATTGTTGCACTGCCTGTCGCCAATTCAGTTCTTGGTGCAGAAGCTTTTGTCACCCCTTGATTTGCTGCCGTTGTGTGTAGACCATATCTTATGACACTATATGATTCTAAATAACCACACAAACAGGCAGTGTTAACCTTAATTAGTAAAGACTAACTTTATCAATTTCAAATCTGTGAAATCTCCTACTTTTGCATTTATTTTTCTTTCAAATTTTTAAGTGTAATTGTGGATGTTGTTTGTGTGTGTGGGTTTTTAAAAATAATTAGCTTATTTCATTTTATAGTTCACATAAAATGTAAATTTTGAACTATTCATGTCATTACTCTGTGATATGGTCCGCATGCATAATAGCTGTGATAGTTTATGTGACAAGTCAAGCAGGACGACTGAATCTGATAACTGATCATGAGACAACATGGAAGATAACCTACTCACAGCATCAGCTGTACACAGTTGCAAATATTGAAAACAGTCTCAGAGTTATCTCCCTTGAAATTCTCTCCCTTTGACTGCATATGCAGTTGGCAGCCATTTGCAAAACACTAATAAAGGTTGATGCTATTCTATCTGCCACACATTTCATCCAACAACTAACGATAGGTCAAGATGACTCCTCCATCTCCACATTTGGAGTCTGTTTAGAAATGTTGTGTAGTTGGGAAGCATGTAATTTCATGTAGCTGCGACAAATCAGCAATTGCCATGTTGGCAAAGTTTTGTGAATAACAGGGATCAAATTGCTTCTGATGTGTTGCCCTGCCTACCATCACATTGTGGACAGATGGCTTGGTTGACAAATTCACCTGAACTGATGTAGAATACTTGTAATTTATTGTGGTGAAGATCTACTGACCTTTCAAAAAAGAAAGAAAAACAATAAGATTCACTGCTGGGTAAATCTTGTAACCTATAACATACATGCATGTTAATATCTCTCTGACAGTACTACGCCAAAATAACCAATGGTAATATGCTCAAGTCCTTGTTTTGCATCCTCAAATCTCCCTGCTTAGTTCTAAATATTGCATCTCTTTTGCATTAACACACCTACTTCTCTTATATTCTTGTTCTATCAACCCCCATGGCTCTACGCTATGCATTATTTATTTAGTCAGGTACCATTCTAAGGTCCAAAATGGAAAAGCAAATCTGAATCAGGAAATGTAACATGGATTAAGCTGAAGCTTATTGAATAGCAGTATTCAGGAGATGTGTATTTTATGAGTAGCTGTGGAGTTCAGTTAGCATTGTCTCATCAGTTGTGAGAATTAAACAGACATGTCACAGATTCAAGGGAAACCCATGAAGTTTGTATTGTCCTATTGAAGACACAAAGGCAAGGTGTTCTTGTCTCACATTGATGTGTAAGGAATTATGTTGACATTAGGCTGAAGTATCTGAATTGACAGCACATTGTGCTTATAAAAATCGGGCCATAGAAATATATTTTATGATGCCACAATGTGCTTGAAAAGTCAGTGAAAATGACTAGTTTGCATGCAAACAGTACTATAATCTGTAGATCTACAATCTCATTATTCCACTGAACACAAGATGCAGTCTTTTAGCTGGAAATACACAACAAAGTGGAGTGAAGTGATAGATACATCTGCACTGACACGTTGTCTCACTACATACTTCAAGCATGGTTTATCCACAAAGAAATTATACATGCATGGTGGACAATAAGAAGCCAGTTGGAGATAAGAATAAGCTGTGAATCCAAACATAATTGTTTCCAGAAGGAAATATTGGCTCTATTCTTCCAATCGGTCTTAGTTCTAAGGTGATCGTAACTCCCATACTTCAACATAGGCCTACGATAGTCACAGCAATAAGATTGCTTTGTAGAATGTGGCCATTGGAAGAGTGGACACACATCTGAGTAGATAAATACTGTTGGTTATTGAAACTGCTATAGTATAAAGTTTGTAAAACGAAAAGCTGAATCTAAAATAGGAACAAGACTGGCTGTCTTGAAAGTATGAAAGCAGATGTGTCGGTCAATATGTACATATTTCACCATGGTAAATCATAAGCTGGTGATACCAGGAATTTTCAGAGATATTCATCATCAATTATTCATTGGTATATCTCCATTCTTTTTTGATAAATATTCTGTATACATTCACTGCATCTGACTCATTTTGTGCCAGATTAGATTGACATGATGTTATCAAATTACACTTGTAAGAGGAATTTCATGGAAAGATTACTGAACAGCTGTGATAGGAAACTGAAGAAGAATAGAACACCTTTCCCAAACAAACTTACTTTAGTGAATTTGTCCAGGGTCCCTTTCCACAAAGCATTTGTAGCATGACGACATTCGTAAACCAATTGTGAACTATAGAGTTACAACAAGTTGTAACATTATGAACGTTTTGTGGATTGGGACCCACGTGTAATAAAATGGAGGAACGATATATTCGATGACTTTGGATGAGGTATAATACCAGTGAATGTGACACCTGGTGCTCAAAATATGAGTAAGCATATGCTACAGTACATGTATGGCAAAGATTGCCTGCAGCCAATAAGTACAAAAAGTAGTCCACTGTCAAGTGACAGTAATTGAGTGAGTGATGAGGCTGCATGCCTCTTACAGAGCTTATGTTATAAGTTAGTGATTAGTGTAAGATTGGATAGATATGGGAAACACAGTGACTTGTCTAACATATGCAGCTGCTTCTGCACTAGCAGCTGGGTAAGGGACATCATGTGCACTACAGACAGACATTGGAGAGGCAGCAGTATTAAAATCTGAAACAATACCACAAATAACATGAGATTCTTTGTTGCCTATTCATCAACCTCTACAGTGATCTCCATGTATGGGCGGTACATTATAAGTTCATTCCTCAGGCTCCAAGAACAGTGAGAGTCTGTGCAACAACCCTGCTATTCTCATCATCAGGTGGTTGGCTGCAGTGCTTGAATCTTGACTTGTATATTGCTTATAACATCCAATTGAGTCATCCATATTCTGTAAAACAACGATGGAAAGGTAGCAAGTCCTTGGACAGAGTTTTGTGACAGTTCTTCTTTATATACTTTCTAACATACAAACAAGCTGCCATTTCCTTGTATACGGGAGAGAAGATTGAAGAAACCATTATACACGATTCCTCCAAAATGTCTTGCAAACTTGCATCACCTTACAATAAACAAACAAGTTAGTTGTGTTTGAAAGATACCTGGAAAGAGGTTGAATGATGGACAGGTTATTTAAGCTCATCATTAAACTGGGTCTGTTTTCAACTCTAAAACCTTTCATATTTACATCTACTTACCACTTCTTGCATTTCTTCAACTAATTCCCTTGATCAATGGCGGTGCATGGCTTACAAAGCAAGTGATAAATGTCCAGCTCTGACAACTGATCACATCGTCCTGTGATGAAGCATGCTGTGTGTTCATGTTGCAGCTTTAGCAACCTCTTCAACTCCCCCAACAAGCCGAAGCGTAGCGCCACTCTGCCAGTGGCCACCGTCAAGTACAATGCCCCTACTACCCAGGTCCAGCCAGTCGGAGACCCCAACAAGAAACAGAGGGAGAAATACAACCTTGGACAGAAGTCCAAAGCCTACGAGTTCTTGCAAGATGATGCGTAAGTATATGTAGTCCCATTCATCCTTATCATATTAAGAATAGAAATTCTGAAAGCTTCCCTTTAAGAAGACTTGTGCTGGGATCACTCTGTATTGAATATTCTATGCCTTTGTTCAGCAGTGTTTGAGGGCATGATCTGCCTGTTGTACTTGAAATTCACTTTGCAGATTGCTTCCCTTAGTTATGCCTGGATCCAGTGATTGTGAGTTTGAATCTCAGATTCATCCTTGTGATCCTGGTTATTTTGGTAACATATCCATTTGGATTCCAGTGCCTAATTAGTCCACAGTAACCTGTGCTTGTGGACTGTGGACTAAAATGATCAGGCTTTGTGACTTGGCTGACTGTTTTTCACTGTTTGAAAGGCATGAATAGTTGTTCATGCTCTCAGTCACAGTTTGCCTGGTCCAGGAGATAATATTTACAGGTCCTCTTGCAAAATTAGGACACATTTATCATAATTTATCCAGTCACTCACATTCAGTCAGGTCAATGTGGTAAAGGTGAATGATTCGACACATAGATTTTCTGCAAAAGACTTGAAGGCTAATGCAACTGAAACAATGTTCAAAACTATTGACTAATATCAATCAGCCAGCCTTGGTCAAGATTGTCTGTTTATCACTTTTTCTTTGTTATCCAGTAGCCTGGTCTTGAAAGTTTGGTCAAGGTAGATGACAGTTTGGCAAAGAAAAAGAGTTACCTAAAAACCATATTTAGTAGGCAAGGAACATATGATTGGGTAACTGACTCTGAATCTTACACTGACACACAATTCTGTGCATGCTTCAAAGTTCACCACAGCTATGTTATCTCTTACAGAACTGCCGAGAAAACTCGTAAAGAACGTGAAAAGGAGCGAAGAGAGCAGTATAAACAAGTCCGGGCTCATGTTAAGAAAGATGATGGACGAATGCAGGCGTATGGATGGAGTCTGCCAGCCAAATTTACCCCTCAGCTCCCTCGGGAGCAGTCTTCCAAGAGTCATGTACCTGTCCCAGTCCCTGTCTACTGTCGCCCCCTCCTGGAGAAAGAACTTGGTCTCAAGGTGAGCTACACGGCTTGTATGAGTTGTCTTACACATGTCTGTGTCTGGCTGTGATTTAGAACTTCCACTATAGCTACCTAGTTCTAATTATCTTCTCTTCTAATCTGCTTCAAGGTAGGTTCATGACTTTTAGGTCCGCCAGCAATATGTCCTTTTATGTTCTTGACTTCTGCTGTGAAACAGGGGCGGTTGGGTAGCCTAATGGTTAAAGCGTTGGCTCGTCACGCCGAAGACCCGGGTTCGAATCCCCACATGAGCACAATGTGTGAAGCCCATTTCTGGTGTTCCCCGCCGTGATGTTGCTTGAATATTGCTAAAAGCGGCGTAAAACCAAACTTAGTCAGTCAGTCAGTCTGCTGTGAAACAAACCATGAGTGCCTTATATAGGTAGAACTTCAGAACAGTTAAGAAATCATCGAATTTGTATTGATGAACAAAGAAATTCATTTGCTGACTGTGGGTGTGACTAGTGACTAGTAGTCTTGTGCACTAGGTAGAGTTGCACCCTAGGTAGAGTTGTGTCCCTAGGTAGAGTTGTGTCCCTTACTTGTGTCACGATCCAAATTTGCCCTGATTATGATCCTTGGTTAGAGAGAACAATATTGTGCTTTCAGATTTTTATCAAAATAAAAGTAATGATATCACTGAAATGCTGTTTTAAGAGGCATTAAAACAAAATAATTCTGAGGGCAAGTAACTGCTCTAGGTTGATGAAGAGTGAGGGATTAGCACTGTTTAAACATCTGTGCACAGGTAAACGTTGCATTGCACAGAATGTGTCCGATCCTTTTGGTCAGGCAACTTTCTAATCATGTTTCCAGTAATTATTCACCTTCCCTTTCTAATTTAACACTACTTTTAACGTCTAAATTCGCCCAAGAAGGTGACTAATTGTCCATGTGTCTTTCTTGAATGTCTGTCTTGCTGAACATTCTTCTCTTTGCTGTTTAAACAAAACTTTTGTTTCATACCTTACTCCTGCAAAACACAATCTGAAATATAATTAGTTTTACTTTTCTCTAACACCTTTTTTACAGTCACTCTCATGGGAGTCTCATGTGAGTTCTAGAACACGTGTGTTTTTGTCATTTCATTATGTTTTAGTGTAATTCATGATCAACAGCTTCACCGTGAGAATTGAGTACATTAGCAATAGGCATCAATGATTTAAGATGAAGATATTTGAAACTTCTATATTAATTAGCACCTATTTATAGTAGTTATACAGTGTATATATACCGTGTGTGTGGTACCTGAAATAGTTTGAAAACTCAAGTGTGAGTTTTACACATGTGTGAAAAGGAAACCCATGTTTTATTAAGCATGTTTTATTGAGTCTTAGGGGCGGTGGGGTAGCCTAGTGGTTAAAGCGTTGGCTCGTCACGCCGAATACCCGGGTTCGATTCCCCACATGGGCACAATATGTTAAGCCCATTTCTGGTGTCCACCGCCATGATATTGCTGGGATATTGCTAAAAGCAGCGTAAAACTAAACTCAGTCAGTCAGTTATTGAGTCTTCAATTGAATATTATAAAATCTGATCTTTTACTCTGTATGATACTTCTCCTTGTGGAGATATAAGAACAGGAGTAAGTCCTCACAGGTAGAAGCTAATGAAGCATGCTTTCCAGTCAACTTCATTAAGATGATAAAATCAAATCTTTTATTCTGATGTGATACTTCTCCTTGTGAAGGTCTGAGTGAGTTCTTGCTAGTAAAAGCTAGTGAAGCATGTATGATTTCTGAAAACTGAAATTTCCAAATTGTGGTGGTAAAGAAATGACCGTGAATCATTTCTGGAATCTGACATTTGATTGGTTGAAGAACCCACACTCCTTCACTGGGCAGTTCGCTCAGGATTCACCTGACATGATCTTAGTTCTGATGATGTCCTTCAATATTCATTCAGAGAGGGGTGGTGGGGTAGCCTAGTGGTTAAAGCGTTGACTCGTCACGCCGGAGACACGGGTTCGAATCCCCACATGGGTACATTGTGTGAAGCTCATTTCTGGTGTCCCCAGCCGTGATATTGCTGGAATATTGCTAAAAGCGGCGTAAAACCAAACTCACTCACTCACTCACTCATTCAGAGAAGTGTCGTATCCAAGTGAAAATGTGTTTTCAGCAAGATTGATTAAATGTTTTTTTCTGTCTTTAATATTAATCATGATGCCATCTAAGTGTATGGTTATTGTGTTTGAAGGTATTTACTTTGATATTGTAGTTTTGTGGTAGTCAGTGGTTACAAAGGATGTATTCAGTTGCTTTTGTTTAAGAACAAGAGATGTTGGCAGCGATGAAACCTGCATGATATCATCCATTGATTTTTCATTATTGTCTTTCATTTGAGGATGGTAGCCACTATCGGGAAAACTAAAAATAGTTTTACCTTTTTTGTTTTGAACCCATTATGTATGTAAGTCTTTTGTCCTCATGGTCACCAGTTCTTGCCCTCTATGATCCCTTTGCTATGATGACATATTTTAATTTTCTCCCACATGTTTTGATGTTGCAATTTTCAATTTTTTTTGAAAAACAGAGACAGTTGTGTGTGGCAGTCTGGTGTAGTATGATGTATGGGAATGTGTTGTGTTTCAACATGCTCATAATTTCACATGAAAATGTAAGACAAAAAATTGTCTTGAATACAGAGTGCTGATTGTAATTGAAGTGCTATTTGTTAGTGTGGTCATGAAAAATAACTAAAATACTGAAATGACTGTCATCCATACTTATAGGTGGTTTGCTTCAGTCAGTGACAAGAAATAGATGAAAAAAATAATTTGTGAGAGGGGCATGGTCAGTAATTGGTTAAATTCCATAATGCAAGCTGATAATTCGTGAGAATTTTGGGCAGAATTTGTTCTCATTACATTTGCTTCATTCATGGGATGGGATGAGGAGGACGCCATCTTGTCACTCTGGCTGCTGAGTAGGTTAGCCAGAGGGAAACAGAATTCTCAACTGTGATCACCCATAGCACAACAGCTGTGTGAGACTGATGAGTTGTGACACTTGTAGTGCTAATATTACTTTGTGAAATGGGCCACTTAATGATTGTGTGTTGTCATACTCAGATTGTTTAGTTGAGGCCTGCCCATGTTCTGTGACTGTAGTCATGTACAATATCGCTCATCGCTGGTCATGGTGTAGAACCTTCTTGTCAGTGTTCTTTGTTCCTAAGAACTGTGAGAGGTTTGGTTATCTCCCTTAGATCTGGTGTGCGGCTGGAGTGAACCTGACAGGTGGTAAGACGAGAGATGGTGGCTCCATGGTGGGAGCCAGTGTCTTCTACGCCAACGCACCCGAGGAGGCCGATGCACGGAGGGAAACAAAGGATGAAGTTGAGAAACTCAACCAAGAACTCAAGGTGAGGAGGTGCATTGGTAGAAAGATGGTCACTTCTGCTGGTATGTTGGTGTCTGCTAAGTCAAATTAATGTTGACATTTCTGATCCCTGGTTTATGCTGTTTTCACTTATATGTTGTAGCTTCGACCTGTCAATTAAGAGGTAGTCATGGTCACTATGGCCTTGAGTCTAGTCTTTATGAACATAAGAGTGCAGGCAAGGAAATGGATTATGTAGTGTTGATTGCTAGCCTCTTCTCCATAAGTCACCCCTTGTCTTCACTGGGGGCGGTGGGGTAGCCTAATGGTTAAAGCGTCTGCTTGTCATGCCGAAGACCTGGGTTTGATTCCCCACATGGGTACAATGTGTGAAGCCCATTTCTGGTGTTCCCCCACTGTGATATTGCTGGAATATTGCTAAAAGGGGTGTAAAACCACATTCATTCATTCACACACTCACTCTCTATAGTACCGCTTCTAAAATGCCACTTTAACTTATTTCATTACTGTTTGCTGTTGATTTTCAGGAACATGAGAAAAACTTGAAGTCTGCAGACAAGGAGCAGTTTTCGTCTCTGGTATGGATCTGCACCAGCACACACTCCACCAGCAGAGTGTCTGTCATTGACTCCAACAACCCAGGGGACATCCTCGACTCCTTCCGGGTGTCCTCAACCCACATGCTCTGTATAGCCAGCGTGCCAGGTAAGCAAGACCACTCACCTGCAGTGGTGGTCCGATTAATTGAAATAATCAAAGATTGGTCGCAGTGACTAAATGACCAAGCAATTGATCATGTTTTCTCATAATCGAACACAAACAATTCTGGAACACTTGTTTTCATATACAATATGTTTCACAAGGTTGGTTTTGTCTGTTACATTTCATAAGCACTACAAGCTCAAGCTTCAAGTCATGATTGAATTTATCTTAAAGACTCCAAGAAATTTATGTTCCTGACATACTAGTCATCCTTTTAAAGATGTGAAATTTTGCCAAAACACCCAAAAAAGAACTACATGTTTATTCCTTATTTTTATGTGCATTAACAAATTAAATTAATGACGCTTAACCAATTTTTTTCGATGATTGATCGGTTGTAATAAACCAATCATCAATTATGAGATTTTAACCAATTCCCAACACTACTCACCTGCATTGGTGAATGGTAGGCATGTGCTTACAGCATCACTTCATCAAATTGAAGATCTGGGTTCCATTGTCCCTCATGGGTACAATGTCGCGGTTTGGAATGTTTATCCTTGAGTTTTTTATTACAATGTGAGATAGGATAAGTGTTATAAATATACAATTTATAGTTTAGAGCCCTTGAATCTCTAATTATGGGCATTGAGCACCCCTTGACATCTATTTGTAATTTCAAAACTGCAATGTATGGAGCCCAATCTTGCTATGTCAGCATTAAGGGCGGAGGGGTAGCTCAGTGGTTAAAGCATTTGCTCGTCACGCCGAAGACCTGGGTTCGATTCCCCACATAGGTACAATGTGTGAAGCCCAATTCTCGCGTTCCCTGGCATGATATTGCTCAAAGCGGAATAGAACTAAACTCACTCACTCACTATGTCAGCATTATGTCATCTGTGCAGTAGAATGTCTGAAGCTGGTAGTTAAAGAGTTCTCTTGGGTTTGATTCCCATTTCATGTCATGTTATCAAAGTATTGCTATATATTAAAGCATAATTCCATACTCATGTACATATTTCCAACATGTTATTATCAAAATTGGCTAGTAAACTGTTTTGGCAGGGTCAGGGTCATTAGCAATGTTACTGTGATCCCATTGTTAACAAGACTGGTTTTCCCCCTCTCAGGAGCCATGGAATCAGACTACCCTGTGGCAGAGGAGATCCTCAAGGCAGAAGCACCACCACTCCCCAAGGAGACTGTTGTGTCGGAGGGCAGCACCTCTGCTGACCAGAACGGAGACAGCAATGGGGTAGGGGGGATAACTTTCGTCCAGTGTTCCACTGGCACCACAGGTCAAGAAGCTAGCTCTGAAGCCTCTCCAGCAGGGTCCCCTCCACGCAGGAGGTCCAGAGGTAGGTGTCACTTTTGCTAAACAAATAATATCTTCATTGCAATAAACAGATGTGACCACCTGTCATGATTCCAGATGAAAAAGGGTCCAGAACATCCATGCTTTTCATGGGAACCCAGTGATATGTGGATCGAGTAGGGCATGTGTGTCTGAGCTGATTGTGTCCTTCATCATATTTTAGCATTGAGTGTTGAACATGCATACCCCTTAAAGTCTTTGAGTGGCATTTTGAAGTAATACACACTAGTGTTTGGAATTGGTTAAAATCTCATAATTGATCATTGGTCCATTACAACCGATCAATCATCGAAAATAATTGGTTAGCGTCATTTATCAAATGTTCCTGTTGTCTTTGTAAAAAATAAAGAAAAAACGTAGTAATTTGTTTTGTTTTTTTGCAAATTAAACAAAATCCATTTGCAAATTTTGCATATTAAAAGGATTATTAGTATGTTAGGAACACAGATTTCTTGGATTCTTTAAGATAAATTCAATCATTACTTGGAACGAGCTTGTGCTTATGAAAGGTAAATTTAATGACACAGACAAAAGCAACCTTGTGATAAATATTGTTGATGCAAACAAGTGTTCCAAGATTGGTTGCGTTTGATTATGAGAAAATATGTTTGATTGCTTGGTCGTTTAGTCACTGCGACCAATCTTCGATTATTTCAATTAATTGGACCACCACTAATACACACAAGGGAGAAAATATATTATTGTCAAACCCTTTGTTATAGTACTGATTACTTGTCAGTTCTGTTTAAATGCCCTAATTTACTGTTGGCTTTCCTTACATTTCCGCTTTTGTAGTACTTACATGTACATACATGAGCTCCACTCTCCATTCCAAAAATAAAGGTCTTCAAATGTTTTAATTCCAGAGCTGAGTCCTGAAACAGATGCAGAGGTTGCATCAGCTCTTGCCGAGGCTGTCACAGGTAGGTTGGCTACCATACCTGTTACCAGATTTGGACATGCTGTAATATTGTATACAGATGGCTTTCACTTTTTACATCATTCATCAAGAATAAAATCAACCCAAGTCTGCTGTTGGAGCTGTTGGTAGAAAATTTCAGGAAGGACTGGAGATGTTGTCTTTGGTCATACCACTAACTGAGATTCTTGCTTCTGGTGTATTACATCTAATTGGTTTGTGATGAAACAATACATGTCAACATAGACCCCATATCACATGATTGATATTGACCATGTACATTGACTTGTCACTTGATTAAGATCGACTAGTTATGTGGGGCGTGGTGGGCGAGCTGGCTAAGGCGCCTGTCTAGTGATCCAGCGGGCATGAGGTGCTGGGATCAAGCCCACCTGTGACCGGGTGTAAAAACCTTTGAGTCAACTTTGTGTGCAGACTCTTTCAGTGTTGTCATAACCCCTAGAGTACAGTACACAACCCTGTGCACTTAAAAGAACCCACGAATCCGTTGGTATATGGCCAGATGGTGGACACATGAATATGTGTAAACACCTAGTTGTGGGTACAGCAACGTGCAGTAAACTTGGACAAAGTACTGTGACTATGTGTCCCAGTCCACCCAGCTGTGAATGGGTACCTCGTAAGGATGGGAAAGCCACAATAACTCGGTGCGCCTTGTGGCAGCAAGAGATGTATGATCTCTAGGGATCTGAGATTGATAATACGATGTGCCGTTGAGATTGACATCCAATGATCGAGGGGGAAAATACCAGCGCCTTGAGCATGCACTAGTGCATGGATATGTGCGCTATATAAATATCCAATAATAATAATTATGTGATGAATATTGAATCATCTACTAGAAAACCATTTTCTGATTTGTAGCAGTTTGTCTAGTGTTAAACAGAGGATGGTTTAAAAGGCTGCATAAACTTTGAAGTGAATTTAGATACAATAGAACAAATTATTTGTCTTGACATGGTCAACTTCTGGGATCAGTTGTGAGGGTCCCTGTTCTGGCCTGTTTACTTCATCAAGAGAAATTATTTGAATAGTGTAAATACACTTTTACCATTAGGTAGATGTAGGGAAAATCAAAATTAATTTATACTCCTGATGACTGATTTGTTTCTTACCTTAACTTGTTATAGATTTCACACACTAATTAAACTTTACCCTGCCACAATCATCCTGGTAACATTATTGGTTTCTGATTAAAAAATCGTGAAGAACTATTGACATAAAACGATCAGGTTTGTTAACAGTCTGTTATAAAAGCCAAGCCAGTTGAGATCAATAGTTCACTATTAGGTAGGACAGAGCATAGCCAATGTCAACATCCAACTGATGTCTGTCCAATAGTGATTGGTGGATTTTAAGCAGTTTCAGTTTAAAGACAAGGTAGCATAGGGGTTAACGCAATCGCTTGTCACGCCAAAGACCCGGGTTCAATTCCCCACCTGGGTACAATATGTGAAGCCCATTTCAGGTGTCCCCTGCTGTGATATTGCTGAAATATTGCTAAAAGTGGCATAAAACCATACTCACTCACTTGTTAATTTCCCAGCCACCAAAATTTGGTCTGCTTTTATTGCATTGTAAGTTTGTAACTGTACAGAGACAGACAGTTTGAACATCAAGAGACTTGTGATTCATCCCAATGTGTAACCATATTACAAACACACTACTAAATGAGATGTAGTTGGATTTGGTCAATATCCTCAATAGGCATGAATGACTGCAGCAGTGTGATATGGTGTGTTTCATATTTGGTCAATATCCTCAATAGGCATGAATGACTGCAGCAGTGTGATATGATGTGTGTCATTTTTGGCCAATATCCTCAATAGGCATGAATGACTGCAGCAGTGTGATATGGTGTGTGTCATGAATGACTGCAGCAGTGTGATATGGTGTGTTTTGGCCAATATCCTCAATAGGCATGAATGACTGCAGCAGTGTGATATGGTGTGTTTCATATTTGGCCAATATCCTCAATAGGCATGAATGACTGCAGCAGTGTGATATGGTGTGTTTCATATTTGGTCAATATCCTCAATAGGCATGAATGACTGCAGCAGTGTGATATGGTGTGTTTCATATTTGGCCAATATCCTCAATAGGCATGAATGACTGCAGCAGTGTGATATGGTGTGTTTCATATTTGGCCAATATCCTCAATAGGCATGAATGACTGCAGCAGTGTGATATGGTGTGTTTCATATTTGGCCAATATCCTCAATAGGCATGAATGACTGCAGCAGTGTGATATGGTGTGTTTCATATTTGCAGATGATGGTGACAGCGGAGAAGCAAGGGAAAAGGCGTACAATGAGATCAACAAGGAGGCCCATGATGAAGGTAGGTGAACCTTCTCCACACACTGCTGGCTTGAGTGAGGGGCAGTGGGGTAGCCTAGTGGTTAAAGCGTTGGCTCGTCATGCTGAAGACCCGGGCTCGATTTCCCACATGGGTACAATATGTGAAGCCCAATTCCAGTATCCCCGCCATGATATTGCTGGAATATTGCTGAAAGCGGCATAAAACCCAACTCCCTCACTTACTCTGCCCTGAGTGTCCATCTCCACAGAATGTTGTCCATATCCTGTGTGAAAAAGTCTGGAAGTGTAGCATAGTATTTATGGTGATTGCTCATCATGAATTTGAATTCCAGTGTCTTTAGAGAAGTTCTGGTGTCCAGCTGTGATTATGCTAGATTACCCTAGATATAGTCATAAAAGTGGTTTAAAATCATGCTCACATACTCTATGTTAAGGAAGCCAAATGAGTGTCATATCATTACCATTGCTTTGAAGATCAAGTTGCTGAGCAGTAATTTTTTCTTTCACCGGAACATTATGAATGTAATCAATATATTGATCCAAGTACTAAGGAAAGTTTAAACTGACAGTCTGGATACTCTCACTAATAACAAAAGAGTTCATTGATAGAATAAAAATATTGTGAAGTACACTTGTAAAAACCATGATGTTCCATATTTGTTGTAGATCCTCTTGGAGCCACGACACTCGAGAGCATCAAGCCAACCGTGTTTCGAGCAACAGGTTCCCCAGTGTCGTCAGGAACAGCCACACCCAACTCGACATCGTCAGGTGGAGAGAAGCGTCTGCAGGATCAGGAGGAGCTGGACAAGGAGGGCATATCGTCCATCGCTGCTGACAACGAGCTGCAGTATGGCGAGCTGGAGAAGATGAGCAGTCTCCTCCCCACCATGTGGATGGGCTCACAGAGTGGCAGGTGAGGCTTGGGTTCTGTCTCTGGAGTGACTGTAGTCCTCAATCTAGCCTTCAGCTCTTTTTTGTTTCAGTTCTCCCACTGTCATCAGTGGTGATCTCCTGCTTACAAACATCACGTTGCCTGTATTACCAGATGCATATACGCTGATCACTACCCCATGTGTCAAGATGTAAGCTGTTGAGAAACAGTCTGTTAGCTTTTATGCATCCTCAATAGCATCTTCTGCCAACTGCCTTCTGTTCCTCCCAAACTCAGGGTTGGTCCAGTTTTCTACGGTGCTGCAGTTTCTCAAGCAATGTTGCATCCTTTAGAAAGCCAGAGACAAATGGTAGTGGTTCAAGTCCCAGCTCACCCTATTGAGTTTCTTAGTTTGTGTGCACCATACCCATGCTAAAGGGTTTCACCTTAGTGTCAAATATTGGGACTGCATCAGTCCAGGATTTCCTCCTGCATCACCCTGACACTCCATGTTATAACTAGAATACTGTTCCCAGCAGTGTTTAACCCATCTCACTCACTTGCTCACACAGCCTGTGAAGATCTGGGTTAGAATTTGTCTTCAACAACCCATGATTGTCGTAAGAGGCAACTAACGGGATCGGGTGGTCAGACTCACTCACCTGGTTAATACATGTCATCGTATCCCAGCTGCATAGATTGATGCTCCTGATGTTGATCACTGGATTGTCTGGTCCAGACTTGATTATTTACAGACTGCTGTCATATAGCTAAAATATTGCTGAGTGGCGCGATTCAACAACGAACACTCACTCAAACCCATCCTCACCCACTCACTCACTCACTCATCCTGAACTCTAAATCAGACTCCTTTATTAACACTCTGAAGCAGTTGTGTTGTGATCTATTTGAGATTCTGCACAACTCAGAGTTAAACACAACTCACTCACTCATTGTTTTCTGTTCCAGTTTATATGTGCACTCAGCTGTGGCCCAGTGGAGGAGGTGTCTGCATTCTGTCAAACTTCGATTCCATTCTCAGCATTGTGTAAGTGTCATTACAACACTGTATGCAACAATATATTGTACAGCCTTTGTGTTAGCTATTCTCTTCCATGTGACTAATTGCAGGTGTGAGGCATGTGCTCTGTTCATTAAAAAGATTTAATTTGGGGAATCGAATCGAATTTTGTGGGAAAACAAGTTCTAACATTGTTTAAGGTGCAGATTCTTATCCATCAAATCCTTAGAGTCCATCTCATCCATTCAGAGATTCGGAAACTGTTTGGGGAATATTTCCTGACTGGATTGTATTTCCTGCACAACTGATCTGTTAACCATTGTACCTTGTTTTTAACTCATATTGTTTTCTTGAATTAAGTTCTTAGATCATGTTTTTTGGTGCTGACTGAAAGAACTGGAATCAGAGGTTGATGTTGCTTGTATTGCAGCCATGTGAAAGGTCGTGTCATGGTGGCCCTGGCTGATGGAACAGTGGCCATATTTCACAGGGCGGCAGGTAGGTCTCATTTTACATCTTACCTGCGAAGATCAGGGTTAGAATTGGTTTTCAGTATCCCATGTTTGTCGTAACAGGTGGGTCCGCTGACTTGGTTGACACATGTCATTGTATCCCAACTGCATAGATTGATGCTGTTGATCGATGGATTGTCTGGTCCAGACTCGATTATTTACCATATAGCTGGAATATTGCTCAGTGTTGCTTCAAACAACAAACAAACATTTTATTATCCCCGGCCGTGCGTTTAACGCTAAGCGGGGGATATAGTACATATATTGGCTCCGTACGTACGTACGGATTGGAATATCTGAAGAACCGTTCACTAGATTCTTTTCATATTTGGTACCTGGGTTCATCACACTATAAGAAAGGTCCAAGTCATATTCAATACCAAGCTTTATCTCGAGAAGGCGCAGGGCCCAGTCGATTTTGGTGACCTTCACATAATTTTCAAGGTCATGGCGACACTTTGAAGATTTCAGCATAATAAATTACATGTTATGCTTGTCAGCGAGATACCTCAAGAACCATTCACTGGAGTTTCTCTTTATATTTGACACCAAGCTTCATCCAGGGAAGGTGCAGGGCCCAGTCGATTTTGGTGACCTTCACTTAAGTTTCAAGGTCACAGAGACACTTTGAAGATTTCAGCATATTCAATTACTTGTTAAGATAGTCAGCAAGATATCACCAAAAAATATTCAGTGGATTTTCTTCATATTTACACCAAGCTTCATCTAGGGAAGGCCCAGGGCAATTTTGGTGACCTTCACATAATTTGTAGGGTCACGACGACACTATGAAGATTTCAGAATGTTAACCTGAATTGTCAGCAAGATATTTTAAGAACGGTTCACTGGATTTTCTTCATAGACTTTCAAGACCTCCCTTGAATGTTTTTCAATAAGCAATTTCTTTAGTACTAGTTTCGCATATTTCATACACTATGACATTCAAAGACTAAAGACTAAAGAGCAAGATAATGTTTTTGTTGACATTTAACTTCATCTTAAACTTTCATTACTTTATAAGTTTGATTTGATAATTTGCGGCGGGGGATTATGTAACCTTAGTGACAATGCTTGTATCTATTTCATACAAGGATTTCTTGTATGACAAGAGCTGTCACATAGAGTTGATATGTTTGTATGACTCAGTTCTAGTCAGCATAGATATTGTAACTTGTCCATCTTCTGTTGTTGTTGACTTGCGTTGATATCTACAACCACTTGAAAACTAGCATGTTTGAACCAATCGTTCTAGTGTCCTGATCCCCAATTGTTCAGAGCATTGCATACCGTGAAGGTTCGTGTTAGAATATTGATCTTCAGTAACTCATGCTTGTGGTAAAGGCGACTAACAGGATCGGATGGTCAGGCTCGCTCACTTGGTTGACACATGTCATTGTATCCCAATTGCGCAGATCGATGCTCATGCTGTTGATCACTGGATTGTCTGGCCCAGACGTATGTACGTCCCGATTCTTGTTAATGCGCTATCTCATGAACTGTTGTACCCAGTGTCTTCATTGGGGGATTACACAGACACCAGTTGATTGGGGTGACCTTGACCTTATCTTCAAGGTCACCATGACACTTAGAACACTGTTCAAACTCTTGTTAACGCAACTTCTCATGGACTGTTGTACCCAATGTCTTCAAATTTGGTGACATCCTACACTGGGGGATTACGCAGACACCAGGTGATTTGGGTGACCTTGACCTTACCTTCAAGGTCACCACGACACTTTGACCACTTTTCAAACTTATTTAAACGTGATATCTCATAAATCATTGCACCCAATGTTTTCAATTATGTTGACAGCCTACATTGGGTGATTATGCAGACACCAGTCATTTCAGGCATCTTTTATGTGACCAAAAGATAAAAAGTAGTAAATAGAGATATTCCATTCTTTAGCGGCGGGGGACATTGCCATATCAGTGGCAAACACTTGTTTACAGCTGGAATATTGCTGAGTGCAGCGTAAACTAAACTCACCCACTCACTCTTTTGTAGTTAGACAACTCACTCACTCACTCACTCATAGCAGTGCAGTATCTGAAGCATTTCATGAATTTATAGTTACGATACTTTGTAACGTTGAAAAGGCTTTGTGGATTGGGACTTAGCTATATTTCTTCAAAAGATTTTGATCTAATCAATTTCTTGTCTCAAAGCACAGCCATATTTAAAACCCTCTTATTGGTTGATTCTTGTGTTGTGTAACTATCCAAATACAAGCTTGACCTTGTCGTGATGTTAGGGCTGTAATCATAAGTCCGTCCTTTAATAGTGACTCACAATCTTCATTGCGCTAAGATTGCTCTGTGAAGCGTTATTTTATGATGCTAGTCTCCTGCCTAATTAAGCCAAAACTTTTCTTGAGCTCAGTTGTGTTAACTGCTTCAGTTGTTCGAGAATATGTTCAAGCAAACAAGTATAACGTTTTTGTTGCTGATGATATTTTGTATCTGGGTTATTTGAAGTGGGGCATATTGAAATTTGACCTTCACTGCACCTCATAACCTGAATCAAAATGCAGTCAGATTCTTCTTCTGACAGACTGATGCAGCTGGAAAATGTCAAGCAAGCACCTGCTTCTATGATTCCTAAATTCTCTAATATTTCAAGTGTTATCAGTTGCTTTAGAAAATCATCCAAACATGTTCTGAAAGTACATATGGTACATATTTGGTATGAATGTTAAGATATGCATGTAATGATATTAAGTATAGTTGTTTGTATTTTTGAGAATGTGATCAGCAGTCAGCCTTTGGTTGAGCAGACTTTTTCGACTAATTTTCCAAAACTGATGTGGACTGTGGGGTAGCCTAGTGGTTAAAGCGTTCGCTCGTCATGCCAAAGGCCCAGGTTCAATTCCCCACATGGGTACAATTTGAGAAGCTCATTCCAGGTGTCTCCTGCCATGAATGTGCTGGGATATTACTAAAAGTGGCACAAAACTAAACTTAACTCACTCACTCACTGATGAACAAAATGTGTTCACTAATTGTGCTACAGTTGAATTGATATTTAACTGGTAATCAGCATTCAGTTTTTCCACGCTTGTTAAAGTAATTGTCTTTGCTTAGTATCATATTGCAATAGTTGCTAGTTGAGTTAAAATATAATTCAAGTTGCAGTACTTGATCTGAAGCCTGTTTGTGTGAAAGTCTCCATTTGTCCATGCTAACCTGCTAACCGGTCTGTAAACAATCGAGTCTGGACCAGACAATCCAGGGATCAACATCATGAACATCGAATTGGGATACGATGACATGTGTCAACCCAATCAGTGAGCCTGACCACCCGATCCCATTAGTCGCCTCTTACGACAAGCATGGGTTACTGAATATCAATTCTAACCCGGACCTTCACGGGTGAACTACAAAAGAAATTCTGCCTCTGAAAGTAAGAGACTAACAAGTTTAACAGGGCTGACACTTGCAGAAGGGTCTACTGAATCTACTGAATACACGATTCCAGCTGTCCAGTGAGGAGAGGGGACTTGAGGTGTTCTCAGAAGATGAAAAGTAGAGATTATTACTAGTCAAGAGTTGATTTGAAAGTATGCCTATTGATCTGTGCACATAGTCCTCTAATCAGACAGGATTAAGGCTTGGACCATATTAATTGTACTTTTGCTAGAAGAGGAAATCATTCTCATTATAGTTGATTCAAGAGCTCAAGTTGCCCCATGGCACAGCTAGAAATCCTAGGATTTACCAAACTGTGTAAATTGTAATGGATTTGGTATCAAGCCTTCTTGAAGACTTCCTGGTGGTATACAAAAGTAAGCCATTTTGTGTTGTGACCTGTCTGAGCAAGGAAGGTCTCAGACATCATTTGCTATTTCAAGGAATCTACAGCTGCAACTTTAAGTTATTTCAGGACTTCACAGACATAAACAGGGCAAGCATGAACTTTATAGAATCTGTATCTGCAGGGCTTCTCTTGTAATCCAGTTTGGCAGGACTTTCATGTGCTGTTTTGGGAACCCACAGTTTTCTTTATGAAAGAGCAGCCTTAAGGTTACACAAAACCAAAATTTGCAGGATGTGGACAACTTTTAAAGATCACATTTATTCCTATTTAAAGTTATCAAAATGTAATGGGTTGGGTTTTACGCCACTTTTAGCAATACTCCAGCAATAGCATGGGGGGAGACACCAGAAATGGGCTTCACACATTGCAGCAATGTGGGGAATCGAACTGACAAGCGAATGCTTTAACCAAAAGGCTACCCCACTGTGTCATCAAACATATCTGTACGTATCATATATCAGTGGAAGATCGTATTTTTGATATTCTGTGTATCATCTCAACCTTATCGCTTATTGATACCGAACTGCTCCCTGTGCAGTCTTCACCCAATACTGTCTTTCTGAAACAACTTAACTAATGCTTAAGGTTATATTACACCAAATCAGATTCCGTAGTTTAACAAACACCTTTCAGGGCAGAGTGAATCATCTGACAGCTGTGATTGGATGATTTTGTGTAAGATTTTTGTGGTTTTTAAATGTACATCAATCCAGTAATTAAAATTGACCATATTTTTCAATATTTAGAGCTGTCTTTTTTAACATAATGACTAATGCTGAATGTGTACAGAGATATTTTCAAGTAGGTGACATTTGGAGTGGAACTGGAGTTGGTGTGTCCAACTTTCTGTACTTGGAAAAGGAATTGGTTAACCTAGCCAAAATTTATGTTTTATTGTGGCTTTAAGGCCATACGGTACATATATATATATACATTTAATGGTCATTAACAACCTGGTTCTTTTTAAGACAATATAAAGTTACTAAGGAAGTCTATGGGGAAAAATAACTGGGTTTTTTAATCAACCTTTCATGTCAACTTCACTGTTACTTCTTGTGATGAATGCAGAACCAAAGGAACCAGTCTGTTGCCACTTTTTCACTGCTCGGAAGTACGATTTTTTCAGTTCATGGCTTTGATATTGTTATTCTGGCAAATCTACACATGTATTGTATCATGACCAGTCTATTGAAATATATTAAATGAATTGAACATATCAAACTTCATGTCATTACATAAATAAGTTTAGAGTATTTTGTAAATATGGCTGTCTATTGGACCTGGAAGGGAATATTTCAGTGGAGATTGTAAATTTTCATAAGCTCATGCTTAGTAGAACAACAGTATAAATGAAAGATGGGTGATCAGGATCTGAAAGTTGGATGATTGCACCACTGGAGCCCAATGGCATGGATTGGTTGCCTGTTGCCCTAATAAGGCTGGAGTATTTCTGATGCTTGTCCTAAACAACTTTCACTGGCTTACCCTCACTCCCTTCAAGCAGTTTTAGGGGCTTTGGGGTAGTCTAGTGGTTAAAGTGTTGGCTTGTCACACCGAAGACCCGGGTTCGAATCCCTACATGGGTACAATGTGTGAAGTCCATTTCTCGTGTCCCCAGCAGTGATGTTGCTGGAATATTGCTAAAAGCTGCGTAAAACCAAATTCAATCAGTCAGTCAGTCAGTCAAGCAGTTTTACTGCCAGTCCATAGTTAACACAGCTTACTGTGTTTGAAGAAGACCCAGCACCTATGGAACCCTTACTTTGGGCTGACACTGCTGCCTTATCTAGACCCTTGACACTAGCTTCACTCGTGCCAAGCAAGCTAAGGGATTTAGAAGGGCCTCTCCCTTTAAGCTGTTGTTTCAGAAAAGATGTTGCTGCTTAAACCCTCAGAAGTGAAGTTAGTGCTTACCCGAATTATTTTGAAAAGCAATTCAGCCTCACTGCAATAGACTTTGAGGTACGCGGAATACAAGGTGACATCGCCAGTCTTGTACCCTGTGCATAAAAACACGCACGCACGCCGCTGCCTCTCTCTCTCACTCTCACTCACTCACTCACTCACTCACTCACTCTCACTCACTCACTCACTCACTCACTCACTCACTCACTCACTCACTCACTCACTCACTCACTAACTCACTCCTCACTCTCTGTCTCTCTCACTCTCTTGTACATTGTGGATCGGATGGTCAGACTCTCTCACTTGGTTGATGCATGTCCTCGTATCCCAGATTGATGCATAGATCGATGCTCATGATGTTGATCGCTGGATTGTCTAGTCCAGACTTAATTATTTGCAGACTGCCGCCATATAGCTGGAATATTGCTGAGTGTGGTGTTCAACAACAAACACTCACTCAAACCCATCCTCACTCACTCATTTAAACCCACACTCACTCACTCACTCACTCACTCAAACCCACACTCACTCACTCACTCACTCGCTTGCTCACACACAAACACATTTAGATTGTGGTCAGATGTAACATAATATGTTATATTTGAGATACCACTTTCCAAGTGACATATATAGATTCTGGTCCAGACAAGACATGTGTTACATTTGACCACAATCTAAATGGCAGTGTGTATATATAGCATAGATGGCTCCTCAGAACATCAGTCTCTGATGTGTCTGTCTGGTCAAGACTCGATTATAAACAGACAGCCATCATATAGCTGGAATAATTCTGAGTATGGCATTTAACCACAAAAATACCCAGTTATTGATATCACATGTTATGGCAGACGTCTCAAAGTTACAATGACAATGAAGCTGAATCTTTGCGTGGGGCTTCAGAGGTGGGTTCATAAACTACTGGTAAGTAGACCATCAATCTGACCGCCTCTGATTCCTATTGAAAATCTTTAGATGAACAATAACTCAGTCGTTTTATGCATGTCTCCATGAGCAATTTTGGATGCTGCCTGTCTGAATTGGCTCTGGTCATGTATCAAATATTTATAGGAAGAGTAGATTAGACTGTCTTAATATCAGTGTGCATTCTTAGCCAAACTAGGTCGGATGGTCATGAAGAAGGTTGGGTTTTTGTTAAAGAAGATTTACCCTGTAGTGTTCATGCTGTTTTGAATGTAAAATATGTAATAGTTTCTTATGATTTATCTATGCATATTTGCAAAAACCAATATCAACCAAAATTCTGCAATTATGTTGGGGCAAGGTCCGCGATTGCGATTGACATTTCTGCACTACATAATCGATAGTTATGAGAATTCCAGGTGATGTTTTATTTTTTCAAAGTTTCTTGCATTTCACTGCTAGTTTGATGAATAAGGAGTTGCAGTTGTAATTCAATGCCCCATTATTGGATATAAAGAACATCAAATATCAGGATAACTATAAAAGTATCAATTTACTTGAAAAATTACATTTTTGTCAATTGCTTGTCACTGGGAAAGAGATAATGGTTTCACAGATTCACAGAAGCTAAATTACAGTAAATCTTTTTCATGTTCTCTTTTTGTTGGTTAAATGCTAGATATGATTATTAATTAGCTTATCAATTAACTGCTTCGTAAGAGTAAAAGGCTATCAGCTGGTCCTCTGGTCACAAACTTCAAGTATCAGCACACCCTAATGTGTTGGTCACACTCGAGCAATCTGTGTTGGTCTTGTGAAGCAACCATTGGTCAGGCTTGAAGACTTTGTTGTTTGCATGACGCTGTACTCTGATGAACACTTGCTCACAATATCAGTCACTGGATTGTCTGGTCCAGATTCAAATATTTACAGGCTACTGTCATACAGCTGAAATATTGCTGAGAGCAGCAGTAGGCAACAAAGAAACACTTTGACCATATTCATGGGATATGGAGTTATTGTCCCCTGCCGCAACGCGGAACGGGGTCTATGTCAGCAGCGTCGCATCCAGACATCGCCGCCCTGATTCTTGTCAACGCGATGTCTCATCTGTTGTACCCAATGTCTTCACATTTGGTGACAACCTACATTGTGGGATTACCCATACACCAGTCAAATTTATTTGGGTGACCTTAACCTTATCTTCAAGGTCACCACGACACTTTGACCACTTTTCAAACTTATTTAAATGTGTTATCTCATAAAACATTGCACCCAATGTCTTCAATTATGTTGACAGCCTACATTGGGTGATTATGCAGACACCAATCATTTCAGGCATCTTGTATGTGACCAAAAAAGTATAAAGTAGTAAATATGTTATAGATATTTCATTCTTCTTTAGCGGCGGGGGACATTGCCATATCAGTGGCAAACACTTGTTATATACAGAGTTAACTGGACCAAACAAACTGTTACTAGCCTCATGCATGGTACCAGTGACTGAAACCACAGATTGTAGTTCTGAAAGGTAACCAGTTGGCTGCTCATCACTCAAGGTTTAGTTGTGACTGCATGTGTCAATGTATAGGCACATGTTTCAGGCTTCTAAGGCATTGCAGTTGCATGTACAGACTTACATCCCTTAGGAATATCAGGATCCTATGATTTCATGCCAGATTTATCCTTACTATGAGGGGGCGGTGGGGTAGACTAGTGGTTAAAGCGTTGGCTCGTCACTCCGAAGACCCGGGTTCGAATCCCCACATGGGTACATTGTGTGAAGCCCATTTCTGGTGTCCCCCGCCGGATGTTGCTGGAATATTGCTAAAAGCGGCGTAAAACCAAAACTCAGTCAGTCAGTCCTTACTTTGAATTGCATTCAGTGATACACATAAGGAAAATAAATTGTTATGGATGTCAACCTCTTTATTATAAGCAACACAACCTTTTATGTTATATGCTTACTTCTTCTTTAGGTGAATTTACATTTGGCCATATAAAGATTCTTGGTTTGTTGGTACCATGTAGTAAATGTCTAAGATGGGCTCCCACATTCAGCTGGCACTCAGCCACATCACTGAAATATTGTGTTTTCATACACACAGTAATCTAACAGACACACATAATACTGGAAATTTAAATAGCGCTAAATCCAACCACCAAAGTGGGTGCTCAAAGCGCTACAAAATAATAATAATGTTTGAGTAGAGTTAATAGTGCAGTGAAAAGACATGCGTTTTAAGATGTGATTTGAACACAGCAACTGATGGGGACAGTTTTAAGGCAAGGGGCAGTTCATTCCACTGCGATGGACCACAAACACTGAAAGAACACTTTCCATAAGAGGTCAGTCTATAAGAAGGAATTTTCAAAAAGAATCTGCTTTCAGATCGCAGTTGTCTGGATGGTTTGTAAGGGGTTAGCAGTTCACTTAGATATTCTGGTTACATAACTTTTAGACTCTTGAATGTGATACAGAGTACTTTAAATGCTATCCTCGCCTCAACCATAAGCCAGAGTAATGACTTCAGTATCGGCGTAATGTGAGAGTACTTTGGGGCACGTGTCACGATTCTTGCCCCCGTCGTTGTTGGTCACTCTATGTTTTGCTTGCTCCTTTTGGATGGAGGGCAGTGGGGTAGCCTAGTGGTTTAACCGTTCGTTCGTCACGCCGAAGACCCAGGTTCGATTCCCCACATGGGTACAATGTGTGAAGCCCATTTCTGGTGTTCCTGCCGTGATATTGCTGGAATATTGATAAAAGTGGCCTAAAACTAAACTCACTCACTCAATATTTGCATGGCCATCAAAGTTGTCAAAAATATTTGTATGCATTATTTACTTCTTACAGATGGTCAATGGGACTTGAAGAACTACCATCTGCTCGACCTTGGTCGACCACATCACTCAATCCGGTGCATGACAGTCATCGCCAACAAGAACGTCTGGTGCGGATACAAGAACAAAGTACACATCATTAATCCTCAGACCATGGGTATTGAGGTAAGTACTATGGTTATAATCAACTCAAAGGGACCTCTAATCTTAGTTTATTAGAACTAAGTTCGTTCCTCCCATTTCAGCTAATATGTAAGGAAAAATTAGTTGTCAATGTCAGTTCATTATAAGTCTGTTGATTATAAGTCTGTTGATTATTATAGCCCCGCTACGAAGTAACAGGGTATATAGTGTTCATTATGTCCTTCCAACCCGAAACTTTGTCCGTAGCATATCTCTTAAAGTTTACATGCTAGGTTCACCAAACTTCACACACATGTTAATCATTACCCATTGATGTGCCTTTTGCTATTTTAAAGTTTTTTCAGAATTTTGTTTTTTTGCTGTTTCCATGGAAACACGACTTAGTGCCAAATGTGTTTGATGGTTTTGTCCGGAGCATATCTCTTAAAGTTTACATGCTAGGTTCACCAAACTTCACACACATGTTAATCATTACCCATTGATGTGCCTTTTGCTTTTTTAAAGTTTTTCAGAATTTGTTAATCATTACCCATTGTTTTTCATTTTTGTTTCCATGGAAACATGACTTGGTGCAAAATGTGTTTGATGGTTACCTGGCCACAGCATATCATCGAAACTATACATGCTAGGTTCACCAAACTTAATACACAAGTTAATCATGACCCACAGATATGCCATGTGCTAAAAAATAACAATCTTCATCTACGTCCACTTCATTGTGTGCATCATGAGACAGTCAAGTTCAATTGTATGTCAGGTTTCCACGGGAAAAAAAAAAAAATGTTTCCATAAATTATTACTGTAATCAGTACATGGCAAAACTATTATCTAACATGTATATAAAGTTTAGTAGAGTCAAGGAGAAAGTCTTGTGAGCTGCTGATCCTTGTCATATTATATATATAGCAATACCAGTCATTTCCATGTCCCAAAGTGGGAAGCGGGGATATGTGAGCTGTGCTCACTTCTACACTTGTATATGTAGTTTAAGAACATCTGAAATGTCCACCTGTTGAAGAATATAGGCCCTTAGGGTTATTTGTAACAGGTAATGTTCACCAAGTGGTGTATAAAAACCAAAATGCTTCCTGGAAATGACCTGTGACCATGCAGATTTAGTGTGACATAATGTCAAGACGGATTTGTTTATTCAATTTTAATTGAAGGATATAAACCTTCTGGACGTTGAGGGCATATCCTGCTGAAAGTAAAGTTCAAGGGTACTAGGGTATGCGTGTGGTTAAAGCTTGGGCTAATCCACATCGAGACTGAATCCCAACATCTTTAAGAACTCTGAGACTCATACTTGATATTCCCTGCTGTGATATGGATGGAATTGCACTACTCTCTGCTAGAAACTCTGCAATCATGTATTTAACATAAGCCATCAGTTTTCACAGACCCCTGAAGATCTGGGTAATTCACCTTCAGCAACCCATTCTTGTAAGATGTGATAAAAGGAATCGGGTGGTCACTGACTTGTTGATGCATGTCACCATATGCCAAATGTATAGGTAAATGCTCATGACATCTATCACTGGATTGTCAAGACTTGGAGTTGAGAGCTGCGTGGCAAGGACAAGAGTAAAAGGGAGGCAACTTTAAAAAAGGAAGACTTCTCTTAAAAGGTTCCCATTATTCAAATACTGTGGCGGCAAATCCCTATAACCCTAGGATCCCCCCACTTTCAATACTGATCATGAACTGTAATCATGACATAGATGTAACATAGTGTTGTAGCACAGAATGTTATTCACTCACTCACTCATGTTTCAGAAAAGTTTTGATGCCCATCCTCGCAAGGAAAGCCAAGTTCGGCAGTTATGTTGGGTCGGGGAGGGTGTGTGGGTGTCCATTCGTCTAGACAGCACTCTCCGCCTGTACCACGCCCACACACACCAGCACCTCCAGGACGTGGACATAGAGCCGTATGTCAGTAAGATGCTAGGTAAGTCTGCCTGGCCCAGTGTCATCTATGGAACAGGAGTTAATACACAGAGAGTGTGGAGTAGTGTAGCCAGACGTCTTAGGCTTCTATATTAAGTAGTATAAAGGTTATATGACCATGTTGCGAAAGGTTATGAGTTACAGTGAAATCATTATTGCATTCTGTTTTCACTGGTCAGAAGTCTGGAGACATTTTGGGTAATCTAATTTCAAACAGATTAATTTTGTTTCGTTCTGTGCATCCTTGTCTTAATCCTGCTCATGTCAACGTACTGCAATCAAGTCGTGAGATAGAATAAGTATATAGATATACAATTTTTATTACATTTTCAAATATTAATCAGGTTCATATTACATTCTGGGAACACAATGACTTTTTTTCAAATGTCAGTCATCAGGCAATGAATGTGAAAATTCTTCCCCAGAGACTACTTTCCAGCTCACCCATTTACAGGAAACTTTATATTTTAAAGCAGTGATAATCAGTTATGTATTTCACATTTATATGCGTCTTTATACTGATTTCTTTGTCTACTGTCAGTATCATTCCAAGTATAGAAATATGGTTATGAAGAAAAACCTCTGACATTAACCGTGTTGACGTCTGCAAAATGTCAGCTGGTTATGTATGTGAGAAAGCTGAGGTTGTCTGTAATAGAAACAATTCTGAGAAGATTAGGTTGGCTTTGCTCACAGAAAACTGAACTCTCTGAGGTCACTGTAAACAAAATGTTGAGTGAAAACAATGGCCGCCTGTGTAAAAATATTCATGACTTCGTGGACCGGTGAAAATCCATGTTAGAATTGGTCTTCAGCAACACATGCTTGTCGTAAGAGGCGACTAATGGGCTTGGGTGGTCAGGCTTGATGGCTTGGTTGACACTTGTCATCGGTTCCCATTTACGCATCATATCCCAACAGCGTAGATCAATGCTCATGCTGTTGATCACTGGATTGTCTGATCCAAATTCGATTATGTACAGACCGCCGCCATAATGCTGGAATACTGCTGAGTGCTGCTTTAAGCACCAAACAGACAAACATGACTTGGCCTGTCAGTGAAAAAATGTGTCCAGAAAATGAAGGCCTGCAATATTTAGGAAAACTTAGCAACCTATTAAAATGTATGTATCATCATTGGCTGAGGACCATTACTTATTCCACAGAACCTTATCTTTCATTGCAGGTACTGGCAAACTAGGCTTTTCTTTCGTACGTATAACAGCCATGTTGATTTCCTGCAACCGACTTTGGATTGGCACAGGAAATGGTGTGATCATTTCAGTCCCTCTCTCAGAAAGTAAGTATTTGAGCTTGGGTTCAAGTCAGTCAGTACGTTGATCCTACTGTTTATCCTGCATTCTAAGATGCCTAGCGGTTAGAACAATCGGGGAAAAATGCATTATCAGACAATAATGGTATAGTTTTTTCATGATGTAACAATTGAATGACGTTATCCTGTCACTGCGCTATTCTAGTGTGCCCCTTCGTAATCGAACCATTTTACATTACGTCACAATGTAAGCTACGTCACGATGCATGTCAGTTGTCATCGCCTCGTACGGCCTCCTACAGTAAACTACTCCGTTGCATCCCGTTTCTCGGTTTGCAGTTGCTTCACGCAGCTAACATCACTGGTGGAAACATTACGTTTATGTTTTACGACGGTTAAAGTGTGTCAATTCGACTCACAATTTTTTAGCGACACGGTAACATACGCAATGTTTACATTCCCACAATGTAATCGTGGAATGTCGCCTGACTACTCAGCTTCATCTGGATGTACTGATCTAAACTTACGTTGGTAGTAGAAATGCGACGTACATATTGCCCCATATGGTTTAAGTTAATGACAGATGTAATTAAAATAATTCAGAGAAGATATTTAATACGAACGTAAACCGTCACAAACTGTTGTTTGTCTTTTTTTTTCTTTCTGGTAACGTTCGTCTTAACGTAGGGGGGGCAAACACATCAATAGAACAGCGCGCCAGTTAGCCCTGTGCAAGGATTCTTAATTTAGGTCTCCGACACCATCGTTTGTTTTCTGCCTTAAATTAATCGCAATTATCCTTAGAAAGTATTAAATTTGGCATCTTAGAAAAGAAATACAGTTTGCTCTACCACCCTGTATAGTGTAATAAAGCACACTTTCGCCCTGAACTATTATAACGTTAAAGCACTTGGACCCTTGCTTCCATGTACTTTAACTATAATAGTTCAGGGCGAAAGTGTGTTTTATTACACTATACATGTTGGTAGAGCGAACTGTATTTCTTAAATCCAAGCAATGCACTCCTGGCTGAAAATACAAGCTGACTATATGTTACATAGAAGGGCTTGACCTAAAGACCCTAAATGATATGTGTTTCAAGATAAACCATGCCGACATTGATAAACATTTTCCGATGATATTGGAGGGATTTTATTCCAGTTTGAAAAAGTCCTCTTAGCTGTCAAATGAGTTCACTACAGCTTCTGTAGTGTCATCATTTAAATCGAAATGGGTTCCAACTAGGGATTAATTCATGCTTGGGAACAGATGCAAGTCTTACAGGGCCAGATAAGGAGAATATTATCAGTCTTGGAGTCATTGTTCAGTCAGTCTAAGAATTTTGCTGCAGGTACTTGATCACTGCATGTTCATATCAGGGTTTTCCAAGCATCACAGATTCCTGATTATTTTATCAAAACATGTGTTTAGGTTTTTGTGGATATACCTCAGAAGATACCAACAAAAGATTTCAAGCCATTCCTTCTATGTAGGGCTCACAACTTATCAGCCAACCCTTACATATCCCCAACAAAGTATGATTGTATCAATATCAATTTTTGTTTGATCGAAACATGATCATTTAGGAATTTTTTTAAACAAACAAACAATCCTAACAATGTACACTGCCTTCTCTCCCCAGGCAACAAACAACAGGTAACCACTTCTAGTCGGCGCCAACCTGGGGGTGTGATACGAGTGTATAGTGACACCAAAACAGACAGTGTTACTCCCGGTTCATTCATCCCCTACTGTTCCATGGCCCAGGCACAACTGTCCTTCCATGGACACAAAGATGCTGTGAAATTCTTCGTTGCAGTGCCTGGTGAGTGTCCGTTCTCACATTCCTTCATTATTCTTGTGCTATTCACTGATGTCTGACGATGTCTTGCATGTTTTAACTTCGGTGCATGGTTTCAGTATTTTGTGCACTTATCATGTATTTTTGTTACATTGTTAGAGAAAGCAAATGGTCAGCTGTACTAAACAGATTTATCTGAAGCCCTGTGTTGGAATGGACTTCTTAATGGCCTTGGGAAAATCACTTTAAAAATTCAAAGGTCACAGTCAGAGTCCCAAGAAAAACTGGTTACATTTTCTGAATTGTTTTGAATACAGTTGTAATTATATCTGAAATATATCTTCTCCCGGATTGGGCTTTACTTTGATCAAGATTTTAGCCTAGATTAGTTAAAGTTTAATGTCACTATTCAGCCTGTAGTAAAACATGGTTGTTTCTCTTGAAAGCTGTTTTTCAAAACTTCATAATGTTTTTGCTGTCGTCTATTTCTAAAGGTCCTGTAAGTCTCCTACTCTCAAATCTCCCAAGTCCAGGGGGTGGGCAGGGGTAGGTTAGGGGGAATTATAATGTCAACTACATAATCAGTACCTGTGTTTGTTATAGGAGTCAACAGAAAAGATATGGTGATAACAATGGCCTGGCTATGTAGATGCTAGACAGTATTGGTTGTAATCAACGTCTAGCTGCCTATCCCACAGTCGATAAGTTGAAAGCTGCTGTGATAATGTTTATTACAGCATTAAACATCCCTCACTGCCCAGGACATGGATTGTTAAAAATAGCATTCCAGGGGCGGTATTCTTAAAAGAACTAAAGTCTGAAATATGACTTAAGTTTTTCACTTTTTCTGACTTAAGTTTTCAGATTTTACTCAAGTCATATTCATAAAGCAACTTAGGCTTAAGTTTTGGCGATTTCCGACTTAAATCTTAAGACTGGGCAGGGGTAGGCTTAACTGGAAGGTGTTTGACTTTAGTCAGTAAACAATATGGCTGCCGTAGCGCTGAGGCGTCGTTCATTTCACCAAAGAAGACTAAGTCTCGTTGAATACAGCGATGAAGAATTAATTCCGGGCCGTCTAGATGGGAAGATGGCATTAGATTAGATTCGTCAGCCAGCATTTGGGAGAAAGGATATTTTTATAAAATAGGATTTCCTAATTGTTTTTTATAAAAGTAGGATTTCCTATTTTTTAATTTCCCACATATTCTTGAAATCAATTGTTCTAAAGTTGATTACACTTATGATGATAATACCTTTAATAGATATCACTCAAAGCTTTCATATTTAGTCATATATTTATAAACTAGGATTTCTAAAAAAAAATATAAAGTAGGATTTCCTATTTTTAAAATTTTCGCTGTTAGTAAACAAAACACAGGAAATTTTACAAATATTCCTGACACTACATGCTGTAGCCTCATCAAACTATTTATTTGTATGAGGTCATGTTCGCTAAAAACTTTTTCGCTCATACATGTTCCTTTCCTTCGCCGTGGTGTGACCTCGCTAATCATCACCTACACTCACTACATTTTTCCAGTGTTTGATGCATTTTGGGCTGTTTCATAGGCGTACCAATGTAATTCAGAAAAGAGAACAAAAATCGTACTTATTCAAAAGAAATAAAAGCTATGTGTGGCACGTAGTCTAAGACATTTCTGTATTCTTGACTACACCTTGACAGTCGGACCCAATGTTTACATTACCTGCCACGCCTCTTGCCGCTTAAGACACCACGCCACCAAGACTAAACTTCCTTCCAACACTCTGGCGTTTTGTTTTCAATGAGTTCTGTCAAAAGCAGGACCTCGTCTTTAGTCCAATTAGGTTTTCTCTCTTTATCTCAGACTCCTCACATATTTTTCACAATGTATTACCGCTGTATCTCAATGTGTCGCCTGTCAGAAATAGCAAAAGGAGATCCCAACGAAAAGCCATTATGAATAGCATCTTAAGTCTCAGACTTAGCTAAGTCAGTTTTATCAATATTGATATTATCACTTGCTAGAATCAGCACCTTGGAGTAAACATCCCAGGTTAGTCAGATGAGTGAGGTGAGTATGAGTGAGTTATGCTGCTTTTAGCAATATTCCAGCAATAGCATGGCGGGAGACACCAGAATGGCTTCACACATTGTACCCATATGGGGAATCGAACCCAGGTCTTTGGCTTGACGAGCAAACGCTTTAACCACCAGGCTACACCACTGCCCCCAAATAGACAGGAGTCATAGCACTAAATTGTATGATAAAATACAGCTCGGATCATTAAGCATTTATGAAGTGCCTGACTTTCCAGATTGGACAGATTTAAAAAGTCTGACGACAACAGCATGGTCACAGGGTTAACTGTGAAACCTTTGTATTGAGCTTGGCATTCAGGTGTGACTTGTATTGTTTGGTACTGAAATTTTTCCAGTCTGCTGCATATATTTTTTGTGCCAAGCATAGAAAATGTTGAAGTATTTATTGCCTCTCCTTGTCAATATTCAGAAAATAACCTAAGCGCAACAATGAATTATGGATTATCTGTCTGAGGTGAATAGATTTGAGCCACAGTGCATGAAGCACGTGTAACATTTATTACTGAGGAAAAGATAGGCTCACATTCTATGTTAGACTAACTCTCAGTCACTGAAAATATATGATTTTGACAGAAACTCAATTTAAACAAAGGAAGTCCAGTGAGCAGGGAGATTCAGACATGAGGAAATAGAGACTTGCTCCATTTAAAACCTTTGCAATGCTTTTGGGTTGGTTGGTTGGTTGTTTAACGCTGCACTCAGCAATATCCCATCTATATGGCAGCAGTCTGTATATAATCGGGTCTGGATCAGACATTCAAGTGATCAACATCATGAACATCGATCAACGCAATTGGGGTACAGTGACATGTGTCAATAAAGTCAATGAGTCTGGCCACCCGTTCCTGTTTGTCGCCTCTTACTGAAGACCAACTCTAACCCAGATCTTCACAAGTATTTTGCATTGCAAAATGGGTTGGGTGGAAGAAAAATAATGTGGTTCTGGGAAAGTAGTGTGATACTGTTTTCCAATTCAAGGGACCGGGTGGGGTAGCCTAGTGGTTAAAGCTGTTGGCTCCACAGTGGAAATAATTGTTTGAAAGTATTAAAGGGTCTAGAGGTTTGTTCCAAAAGTATTTGTATCTAGGGACCACCAAAATAACTTTTCACATGAGGACTGTGATAACGACCTAGAATTTCAAGGGTACAATGCAAACACTTAAATGAACATTGATTACCAATTCATGGTTTTTCACCTGGCCATTTGCTCTATCTGACTCTGTTTTAACAGTCTGCTAAATTTAATTAAGTTTGCTGTATATATTAACCATCATCCTTTTCAGAAAGATTATTTTGCTTCATGGCTTTATTAGTGTTAGAAAATAGTTTTATATTGAGATGTGTAACATCCTGAAAACAGTTTGTGACATAATGTACAATCTAATCCTATTATAACCACAGCAAGAAATGTGAGCTTGAAGATTACATGTATCCATTGCTCAGTCCATCCTTAATGTTCAAGATGGTGATTTAGAAGTTGGTATTCTTTTCTTGATCTTGAATTTGTTGATTCGTTGTCAGCATTTAATTGTCTTTCAGTAGAATTGCTGTTACCAAGGTTTGTGGTTTACTTAGCCTTATGAGAGATTTATGCGGTAACAAATGTACTATGAAGACGTGTTCTGCTAATCTTTGGACATCTGAGGATGTTGGTGTTTTGCGTGGGATCATTGAAACTCCCACATGGCTGTTTTGTCACTTATCTTTATCTGATATACAGCAAGACATGTAACCTCCTTCATGCCTATCACTGCAATGGTGTACCAGCCATTGACTCCTGACACTGCAGACAGAGTGCCAGTGTCTGTCAACCCTAATCAGATCATCTGTGACTGAAATGATGTACGGGAGTAGGAGATGATTTTCTCTTGTCAGGCCTCCATTTGACATTATAGGTCCCTTGTGCTTACAACTTGTTGTGTTAGGTGATGGCTTGTAGGTTTTGTATAACAATAGTTCTGAGGTGGAACACATTAACTGTGACGAAAAGTATCCTTCCAGAAACTGAACTTATTGTCGTCCTATTGCTAAATGAAATAGCTGGATTAGGGCCAGGGTCACCAGTGTCTGTCAGCCCTAATCAGATCATCTGTGACTGAAATGAGGCATAGGAGATGATTTTGTTGTCTTGTCAGACCTCTATTTGACATTATAGGTCCCTTGTGCTTAGAACTTGTCGTGTTAGGTGACTGCTAGTAGGGGTAGAATAACATTCATACTGAAATGGAAGACAATGGCTGTATCTTTCCAGAACCTGAACTTATGATGTCTTTAATATTGCTAAATGAAATAGTTGGATTGGAGCCTGGGGCACCAGTGTCAGTCAATCCTAATCAGATCATCTGTGACAGGAGAACTAAAATGATTTACAGGATTAGGAGCCGATTTTCTCTTGTCAAACCTCCATTTGACATCATAGGTCCCTAGAGTTTACAGTTTGTCGTATTAGGTGACCGATGGTATGTCTGGAATCACTGTAGTTCTGAGGTGGATGACTTTGGTTGTGACAAGACTACCTTTCCAGAACCTGACCTGTGGTGATCTTAATGCTAAATGGAATTATGGAGTTGTGTCCTGGCTGATGTTAAAGATGTCGTGTCCTGAAAGTATTGATCAGTGTTCACAGAACAAATATCCACCTTACTCTGCAGAGTGGTGATTACTTGCAGACTGACCCTAATGTTTACACATCATTATACTCATCAAGTCACTCGATCGTGGGACCATTTATCTCAGCATTCTCCATGTTTTAATTGTGCTGATGATTGCCTTTTGTAGCTGAACAAGCTGTGGAATGTTGACACTGATTTTTCATCTTCCATTGTCTTCTGTGTACCATTCAAGGAAGTGTGATGGGATTTTGTGTGTTTCAGCTTCGAAAGTTCTACTACCAGAACAAAGATCTGTCAAACACTTGTCTTTATACTTGCTTAAATAA